GCCGCTCAGCTTCCATCCCGAGCCCTCCGGCCACGCGGCGCCGACACCCCGCCGAGTGCAAGGGGGGGCGACCCCGGGCTACCTGCTGCCCGCGGCTTAGGGCTAAAGCCCCGGGGGAGGGAGGAGTTCCCGGCGGGCGCCCCTCTCCCGAGCTCACACCCCGCGGCACGCCCGGGCCGTCGGGGTCACTGGACGTTTCCACGCGCGTCCAGGGCCGGCTGTGCGTGCGCGGCCCACGCCTGCACTTCTACAGAAACGCGCGGCTTTAGAAGCGTCGCGTATTCGTATCGCATATACTCGCACATCTTACTAGGAGGTCGTTTTTCTTTCCTCCAACCCTAGTTTTCTTTCTTTCCATTTCTTGGGCGCCCAGCAGTAAGGGGGGGGGTCTCTCTGTGTCTCCCCATCGTGTAATCATGGATTTGCGTGTATGTGCACAGATTTGCGTATCTTTAAACCACAGCTATGCCGTTGCATCCTCGCGCTAACTATTCACCAACTGTGCCTAATTTAGAGTTGAGGGAACCGAGGTTCTGACCATTTTAAACCTCTGTTTACTGAGTACTTACTGCTGAACAGCTTTTTTAAAAAAATATATCTTTATTGATTTCAGAGAGAGGAAAGGAGAGGGAGAGAGAGAGAGAGAAACATCAATGATGAGAGAGTCATTGATCGGCTGCGCCCTGACTGGGAATCGAACCCTGGTCGCCTGGATCCCAGGTCGACGCTCAACCGCTGAGCCATGCCCGGCAGGGCCTGAACAGCTTTTATGCTGAAAACATCCCGGGTCTTATCCACCGATCTCGCCCGAGCTATCTAGCGAAGGAAACAGATCACAGGGCTCAAGAAAGCTGTGAACAGCGAGCAGGAGGCAGCTTCGCTGCAGAGCCGGGTGTGCCGGTGGCCGGTGGCTCCTTCCTCTAACCGCCTCTGGACGGGAGGGATTCGAAGAAGTGAGAATTGTTATGCAAAGAGGGCGGTGGAACTAAGTGGATTATTACAAGTGTCCTGCGACGCTACAGTAGTTACTTTAAGAATTGTGGTGTTTCCTCACATACCAAACAGCAGTGAAAATACTGGGATTGCAAAGGTCCTAGGAGAAGCAAGCGAGGCCACGTTAAGTCCCTCTCAACTATAAAGCAGGGTACAAAGAGGAGATCAATTAAAATCCTGCAAATTCGGTTTATTGGCTTCTGTTTTCGTTTTATTAATATAGTATTATTAATCCCCAAAGTAGTGCCTGTGTTGGAAGAAGTTAAACAATGACCGAGATGCTTGTCGAAGTTAACCGTTGTCTTCCTCAAGCCCTGGCCCCAAACCCACTCCCAAGGCAACCAGGATGGGTTTGGTGTGGCTGCTTCTAAAGGGCCTGGGCCCATGCAAATACGTCATTTACCCAGGGAGAGAAGCTGTCCTCTTTGGCTGCAACTTGCAGATTTGTCATTTAGCTGCTTCACAGACATGAATCTTTCTACTTACACTGCCAGCTTGTCCGCATAATGCCCGTTGTACAAATGCCCGTCATTTACTCAGCCATTACCCTGAGTTTTTCTTCAAACTAACACTCTTTCCCCCTTCATTACTTCTCAGTATCAAACCCTCTCTAACCTTCTCTGGGCAGCTTTGTGACCTTTCTGGGGCGTGAGCATCCTGCCGGCCCCTCCCAGGGCGCCCGCGCTGTGGGCAGCACGCTGGGCACGGTTTCCGACCCTCTTCCCACCCAGTTCTCCCCGCCCTGCTTCCGACCGTGTCTCTGGGTGCTCTAAAAGCTCACATCGCTTCAGAGGGCAGCGTGTGGGCCGCCGCGCACTGCAGCAGCCCTTGAAGGAGTCCTTCAAAAGCCCACCCAGCCCTGGCCGGGCAGCTCAGGGGTTAGAGCATCCTCTGGATTCGCCAAGGTTGGGAGTTCGATCCCTGATCAGGGCACATACAAGAATCAGCCAATGGAAGCATAAACAAGCGGAGCAACAAACCGATGGTTCTCTCACACACAATAATAACAATAATAATAAAATTAAATTAAAAACCCAAAAAACTCCACAGTAAGGGCAACGACAGAATATCTTTAGTCGCGGGTCAGCAGATCTCTTTGGGCTCCCACTGATGCGGCCCAGGCCCTCTGACCTCTCACTGGATAGAGGCCTCTGCCTGGTTCTCTGCCCCGGCTCCTCTCTCCAGTGCACCGTCTTCCTCCCTCGCCACGGGGATCTTAACATCTCATGTCCCTCCTCAGCTCACAAACTCCCAGCGGCTGCCCTTTCTGTTTGGAGTAAAGCCCCACCTTTTCACCACAGGTCTGTGAAACTCACCATTCTCAAAAGAGAACAGGTCCTTACACACACGCTCCTTCTTCTGGGTTCTGTCCAATTTCCAGCACCCGAAACCAGGAGGCACCTTCCCCTTTCCCCGTACTCAGTTAACGCCAGTGTCCCGGCCTCTGCCCTCGAAAGGGTTTCTCAGCCTGCTCTAGCTGCCCGTGCTCGCAGTAGAGGCGGCCTTTTCTCACTGCTCTCCTCCCCGCCAGCCTCCCGCGTCCCTTCCCCAATCTGTCCCCAGCGCCAGAGCAGGCGGAGGCCCGAGAAGGGAGCTGCTCTGCTGCTCCCCAGGGATTAGGGGCACACGACTCCTATGTTTATTGTTTTAAGTCACTGTCCACTTGAGGAATTTAAAGGCAGTTCATGGCAAAAACATTCGGGACTGGGTCTGGCTGAATTTTCCCATATCTGGAATGCTCGGGGCGGTCACCTGTAGACACGCTCGTCACGCTGTCCTCACTTTTGGAGGAGGGGGACACCTGGGCAGGCGGGGGAGTTTTTTCCTTCAGCCCTCAGCTATTGAATTCCGTGGGCAAGGAAAAGCGGGCCCCTAGCGGCAGCTGCTGTCGTTGAAGGGGTAGGGCCCTGGAGGGAAAGCCTCAAGCGATGCCTCTCCAGTCCAGTTGTGGAAAGGGCGGTGGCCCCAGGGGTGGGCCCCGAAGACCACCCTCCCCACCCCGAGTTCCTGCTCAGCCCTGGGCTCCTCCAGGAGGAAGGATGAGCCACTCTCCTGCCTGCTCCGGGAGTTCGTTCTCTCTCTGCTTCCTTGGAGAAATACAATAGCTTTCGGTGTAAACGCACCCAAAGTAAATACACCCTCCAGGGGAAGAGGGACGGAGCTATGTGGGTGCTAAGTGTCCCAGCCATTTCTTCTCTCATTTAAATTAAACCATAAGGTTTCCTTCCTTTAGAAAACTTTCAGGATTTGAGACTTTTACCTGTGTTTAGCATCAAAACTGTTCAACCACCTTTCCCCCTTACCCTCTGCCGAGTGTTTATTGCAGTGACGGGCCCGTTCCCCAGCTGGCTGTCTACTGCACCCGTGTCAGTTGTTATGTTCTCCAAATGTAAACCTACAGATCTGCAACCCAGGACCGGGCTTTATGCTGGGCATCGCTGGGATTACAAGCTGTGCCCCTACCCCTGGGACCTCAGCTGTTAAAGAAGCTCACTTACATCAGAGTTACTGTGGCCTGACAATGGCAGGTGTTATTAGGTACAAAGTGGGCAAAGGAGAGGCAAGTGTGGAGGGAGGGGCTCAGAAAGATGCCAGAAAAGCAACAATTCGACTCGAGGGGAGAGTAAATCTGGAGTCAGAAGAAAGGGCTCTGGGTGAGAACAGAGACTGTTCTTGTAACCGCTGGACTTACTAGGTCCTGCTGGCCCAGCCGTGAACCTCCTGTGCCTACTTTCCTCCTGTGACCAGCAAAGGCACAAGCAGGATGAAAACGAAGGCCTGACTATCAAGCAAAAGTTTTGCAAATCCTTAGATAGCTTGGTGCAAGGGCGCAGGCAAACCCCGGACCGGGAGTCAGAACACCTGGGGTTTGGTCCCAGTTCTGCTCCGCTGGCTTTGTGGTCTGGGGCAAATCCCAGCACCTTTCTGGAGCTGTGCCTCCCCACAGGTGAGCGGCTGTCCTAACACAGCTCTCAGGGTGCCTGTCAGGGTCACGGGCCTGCAGCTGGGACTGGCGGGGTGAAGAGGAAAGGAGGCAGGGGGGCAGAACTGAAGCAGGCTGACCGAGAGAAGAGGTGGCGACGGGCTGGCCAGGAGCACACGGAGCCCGGGGAGAGAAAGGACGGTCAAGCTGCATGGAGGAGCCGGGGCAGGGTAGAGGGCATCGTGTCCGTGACGTGACTGTCCAGCTTACAGACTGCTCATAACTGTGAGACAGGCATTACCTGCCTGTGAGATGGAAGTAATTGTGCACTTTGACCTGAAAGCTTGTGTCTGGCTTGTTTGTACTAGTCACCCAGCATGCCGCGGGCCCCAGGTGACACACATCACACCTGCTGTGGTATTAGCTCCACCAGCGTGGCCACTCCTGGTCTCCCTTGGGGGGGGGTCCTCTTCACGTCCCCAGTCCAGGCACAGAGTAGGCCTGAGCAAATGTCTCTAGACTAGGAGCCCAGGGAATTTTGAAAAGGACTTGATCCTGGTCAAGTCTCTGGAAAATAACAGCGAAGACACTTGTTTGGAATAGGTTAGGAGTGAGTTTGAGGGTGGGGTTATGACCCTCCTTAGACGTATGATTGTATTTTGAAATTTTGAAAACTACCATTTGGTGGCTAATTCCCCCAAATAAGAGTCAACCATAAATAATTAATAAAAGTTTTATTAAATCATTTAGACTTGAAAGAAGTCACAATAGTTAACACACGTAAGTGCGTTCTATATACCACCAACCCAAATGGATTGAGTTCAGAATTTTTATAAATAAAAAACACACATATTTACAGTGAAAAATAAAAATGTTACCACGTTACATGATTAAACTATTATCTATAATCAGTTTTGGGAAAGTACCACCCTACAGAATTACACATAAGATGCTTGGATTTTATTCGGTTTGAAGCCTGTAATCGAAGAAGTTAACTGCACATGTGACTCATTTCTTACTACAGTTGCTTTCTCACCCCGAAGCCAGAACTTTTGACCAATTTACATAAAAAGCTTCTTTGGAGGTAAAGTACAAAAAGCTCTTATGCTTCCTAGAGCCATCTGAGAAATATAGCTATTTAATGTTACAAATGCCACTATAAAACTAGCTATGGACATAAACCGCTGTGCAATTTGTGCTACTTGTCCTCCAAAATAGTGTAGATTCCCCATTTACCCACCAGGGACAAAAACGGAGCCAGCCTTTTGGAAATCAGTTTCAAAACCAGCAGTCTCTCTAGAAAGCGTATTTCTAGAACAACATAGATACTGTATGTAGGAATGTTTATGATTCTGTACTATAAAAATATCTCTCTTAATCTGGGAGATTGCCTGACCTCCCTAGGCAACAGGCGAGGGCCACAGAGCGTGGCCAGCCAGTCTCAGGAGACCCACAGAGAAAAAGGACCCCTCGTGAATTAGCGAAAGCTCTCTCCTTGAAGCCAACAAAAATCAAGAGTTGGCTCAAGTAGGTTATGTCCCAAAATTCAGCTTAAGTTTGATTTAGAAAAAGTAGTTCAAAATGAAGCTGAGCAAAGAACCAGCTCTCCAGTCCACAGTTCTGGAAGGTCACGTTCCTGAGCAGGGACCACTCCGAGCCATCTGTTAGGGGCACAGGCACAACTTAAGGCGAACTGCTTGGCAAAGGGCTATGAGAGTCGCTGGACTGTCTCGAATGTTTTGTTCCAGATGAGCTCAAGGATCGGGACCTCTGCCTGAGCACTGTTTTTCCTGGGATCTCCAAGTCCTCAAATACAGCGTTTTCAATGATGTCTGTAGCCTCAGGCCGTGCCGTGGGGGAGGGAGAGAGCATGTCGTGAACCATCATATACTGAAATATAAACATTGTTTTGTGATAAAAGGGCCAGGTTTAGACCACTAACCAGCCCCCTAACTCAGGAGTCAGCAACATTTTTCTGTAAGCACACTGTTTGCAAGCCAGTTTCTGATGCAACTTCTCAACTCTGCCACTGCAGGACAAAGTACAGCCCAGACATGTAAACCAACGGGCATGGCCATTCCCAAAACTTCATTGCAAACGGGTAGCAGGCTGCTCTTGGCCTGTGGCTTAGTCTGCCAGCTCCTGCTCCACATAAACATGGCCCATTGTGGGTAATTGTTTGCTATCTAACATATAATACTGGCTCTTAAACCATATCCTTGAAACACAGACATAATCTGACTTTAAAAACAAATGCATCTTACAACTGCATGTAAATGTACAATCATTTCAATAAAAATTTCAATTAAAATATAACCACGCCAGAGATCAACACCTGACACCTTTAAAAACTTTTGAACCTTATTAATGTAACATATTCTTATGAGCCACCTTGGGAATTGATTCACTAAATTTGCAAAATATATAACAAAATAATTTTTAGTAAAATATATTTCATTTAGGTTAGTGTATCTCTCTATTACAGAATTCATTCTACTGCAATCCTTCATTATACTTATAACACTGAAAGATAAACAGACTTCAATTTGTGGTAAGCCTAATTTATTTCAACTTAATTATTTAAGAAAATTCAAGATTCATCAATGTATACATTTATGAATGTTTGTTGACTAAATATTTTATGGAAAAAAAAGTAAAAGCTGAAAAAAGAAACTTCAAAGGTTCATTACACAGAACTTTTCCCATTCAAGACCAGCTAAATGTCCCTCCCCGCACTCTTGACCATGTGCTGCATCATTCTGAGGGGTAACTCTAGCATAAAATCAGCACAAACTAGGGCCCCCAACCCCCAAAGCAGCCAGTTTTTAAGATCACTCCCAAATTCACTAAGATAAAGCAATTAATAGCATAATAACAGGACTCTATCCCTGCAGGGGAGGTAAGTGTCTGACTATCCCTGTGAGGGTCCAACACTCTATCCCTGCAGGGATCCAGCAGCTTCGGAGCACAGACCAGGCCCAAGGCTGGGCTGAGCTCCAGTCTCTGATGTTAAAAAGCTGTGTGTTCCTGGGATCAGGTTCCTTTCCTCTCTAGACCTTTGGCTTCCTCATCAGTAAAACAGGGCAACTGATGAACTGACCGCTAAGGACCCTTTAAGTTCTAAATATGATTCTAAAGAAAATAAAAGATGAGAATTATACAAACCTCACGAGGATATTTCTGAGTAAACAGTGGTGGAAATCTGAGATCTCTTACATCAGTTAAGATCTAAAAAGAAAGAACAGAAAAAGAAAGAAAAGTGTTACTTATCTTTAAATCTATTTTGATACATAGATCTATTTAAACATAAAAGTATTTTTGATATTTTAAAGGACAGCCTAGGAGAAAGGGTGACTCTGAAGAGATGGAGAGCTCATCAGCAGCCTTCCTGATGTGACCACACCGGCGCTTCCTGGGCCCAGGAGCACGTGCCGGCCAAGGACCAAATCCGGGAGGCGGCTCAGGTGCAATTACGCCTGAGCTGCGCAGACACCGCTCCCGGCCACGGCCGAACGCAGGCCACTGCACCAAAGGCACCCCAGCCCCTGACGAGGCCACCATGTCCTTCAGTGAGGAACCTTTCCCATCAGCTTCTAACATCTTTGCACTTGATAAAAGGAGAATCTTTTCTTCTTTTTTTGAGTGAAGAAAACCAAATCAATTACACTAAATACTGAGTATAAAATTAAGCTTTTAAAAGTTCTCTGGGAAATTTTCATATCAATTACTGTTCTTTATATTCCAGTTTCCTTATCTACAAAACAAACACAATAGGGCCCACCCTGTACGGCTGTTTGAGAATTAAATGAGGTAATTTAGTGCCTCACTTAGCACAGTACCTCATATTTCTGTAATGATGACAAAAACCAGTTTTTAGAAATGAAACAAAGAAAATAAGCCTTAGATTTCTTAAGAAATAAACTGGAAAAGGTGGAGGGAGGTAGAAGAGGGTAAAAGGGGGATAAATGGTGGTGGAAGGTGATGTAAGTTGGGGTGGTGAGCACACAATACAATATACAGGTGATGTATTATATAGAATTGTTTACCTGAAACCTATATAATTTTTTCAACCAATGTCACTCCAATAAATTCAATAAAAATAAAAAAATTAAAATAAAAAAAAGAGAGAAATAAGCTGGAGTGTACTTAAAAAAAAGTGAGAACTAGGTTGTCATTTGTTACTTCCCACTAAAAGAAAACAGAAACTTAACTAGCCGAATCTACGCTGCAGACCCTAGGAGGGAGGGTTTCATCTGCTAACAGGCAGGTCATACCAAACTGAGTGCAGATAAATGCTTGAGCCTGGACTCACTGAATTAATTTTAATTATATAACATTTTATTATTTATTTATAATCCTCATCTGAGGATACTTTTTCCATTGCTTTTCAGAGAGAGTGGAATGGAGAGAGAAAGAGAGAGAGAGAGAAACATCAATGTGAAAGAGATACATCAACTGGCAGCCTCCCACAAATGCCCCAATGGGGCTGGGGATCGAGCCTGCAACTGAGGCGCATACCCTTGGCTGGAATCGAACCCAGGACCCTTCAGTCCACAGGCCCATGCTCTAACCACTGAGCAAAACTGGCTAGGGCTATATGACATTTTAAAACAAAGATTTTTATTCTAAAACTTAGAATTGAAAAAGGACCTTGACCATAATTCAATGGAGAAAATGGAGAGTCATTTCAACAAAAAGCATAGCATAAAAGACTGATAAACTGAACTTCAAATTATCTGGCAAAGGACTTGAAAGGATGGTTGAAGTCACTAGCCATCAGAGAAATGGAAACTCACACCACATGAAGGTTCCAGGATGGCCAACACTGTGAAGACTGAACGTAGTGTTGGCAAGGATGTGGAAGAACCAGAGCTCTCCTGCACTGGCGTGGGAATGTAAAACGGCACTTCCTTATAAAGTTAAACCCCTTACCACAGAGCTTATCAATCCTACCTTGGTAAGTGCCCAAGACAAATGAAAAAATGTCTACAGAAAGACTTGTTCACAAATATCCACAGTATCTTTATTCATAAACGTTTCTCAATAGGTGAATGGGTACAGAACTGTGGTATACACACAATGGAATATTACTGATAAAAATGAATGACCTACTGATACAATGAGTAACACAAATGAGTCTCAAAAACTTTTTGGTGAGTCAAAACAGGCAGACGCAAAAGAGATTGTCTTGAAAGATTCCATTTATATGAGGCCTTAGAAAAGGCAGAAAGTCGATGAGCAGTTGCCTGATGGTGGCAGGGGCCTGACTGGGAAAGGGCAAAGGAAACTTTCCCAGGAGATAGAAATATACTATGTTTTGAATGTAGTGGTGATTACACGGGCATATAAACTCTTCAAAACTCATCCAACTCTACACTTAAAGTGCTTTATTGTATGTAAATTGTACCTCAATAAAAATGAGTTTAAAAAGGACCTTGCTCAAATCACTGAATGGTCTGCTTTACATTCACTAGAGAACTTCAGAGAAATTGTGGCTAATCATGGCAGATTTTCTACTACATTTTCAGTAAACATTTGCACTAAAACAAGTGCAGAGAATGTAAAATGTATGTCTATAAAGATGAGTGCACTGGAAGAAAAGTCAAATTTCCGGGAGACATAAAGAGGATAGAAGCATAGCAACTACTTTAGCAGAAGAGAGGAAGGGAAGCCACGCGGCCGATGAACACGGGGCAGACGATCTGAAAGCGTGTACGTGGAGGGATACATCTGCATATAAACAGGCGAGGTTTATTTTCTGCAGAAAGTAAACCAAGAAAAGTCCAGACTCAGGGTCGCTCAGTAGAGGAAAGGTGTGTGCTGTAGGCAGGAACAGCAGGAGGAGGCGGAGAGCGGCCCCCACCACCCACTCTTCTCAGATACAGCGAAGCCACCTCTCTGGAGAGCATGTTCTGGAGGAAAGGTCTGCAGATGCTGACATGTGGGGGGTTCCCCACCACACCCCAACGTAGGAACTGAATCGCAGCCCTCACAGTGAAGTCCGTCCCAGGCTCCATTTCAGAGCCCTATTCTTAAGTGTGAATGAATGGCTCAGGATTACCAACGTGAGAAAAAACCATTGAAAACCCCGAGTTAGCGAGTTAGCGATCTGGGCAGGGAGGGAAGTGTGACTACAAAGGGTAGCAGGAGGGAATTTCTGTGGTGATGGAACAGTCCTGTCCTGTGTGCACACTGCAGTGACACTCACAAATCTATACCTGAGGTAAAAGAACATGGAGCTACACACACACTGTACCCACATCAACTCCTGGTGTTGACACTGCCCTGTAACTATGTAAGATGTAACCATTACGAGAAACTGGTGAGGGGCACACTGACTCTCTCTGTATTACATTTGCAGCTTCCTGTGGCTCTATATTAATTTTAAAAAAATTAAAAACCCAGAGGAAAGAGACAATACAGGGATAAGAAAATTTAACACACACCCACATAACTGAGATGCTCAGAGATAAATAAAGATACTAAATCCATGTAAAAAGAGTAAAGTGCTATTAAAAAGGAACAATCTTGGACAATAAAAATTGGATGGTCAAAATGAAAAAGTAATTAGAAAAGTTGGAATAACAAGTTAAGGAACTCTTGCAAAGGACAGTATAAAAAGACAGGAAGATGAAAATAGGAGAAAAAAATAATAGGTGTTTATAAGATTAAGTCAGGGGTTCCAAGAAAAGGAAACAGAAAAACTGGAGAAGAACTTATCAAAAAATACAAGACATTTATTAGAACTGAAGGATTCATATCTTTTAACTGAAAGAATCCACCAAGTATTGAACACAGTAATGAAAGGACTAAGTTTCCTAACAGTACTGATAAAGGTAAAGTCTAAAAGCTTCCAGAAAGAAAAATAATACAGGTCAAACAAATCCATATAAACAAGTCAGGCATCAGATCGGTCGGTATAGCTTTGCCACAGTAGCGCTGTAGCTACATGAGTCGATGCCCTCAGCATTCTGAGGGGAATTATTTCCAATCTAGAACTGGAACCTGGCCAACTTCAATTATGTGTGAGGATGGGGGGAAAAACACATTTTCACATATTTGAGAACTCTAAAAATGTATCTCTCACATACTCCTTCTGAGGAACTTATTGCAGAATGTGCTCCAGCAAAATAAGAGAGTAATGCAAGAAAAAGGGGGAAACATGGAATCCAGCAAATAAAGGGTCCTGGCCAGGAGGGTAGGAAGTGCGTCCTTGGCTGACAATTTACAGAAGGTCCAGGGAGGATCAGAACAGACTGAAAGGCAAAGGCTTTCAGAAGAAGACTCCAGAAAAAAAAAAATGAACATATCTATCATCTACCTATCAATCTATTATCTGTCTATCTATCTATCTATCTATCTATCTATCTATCTATCTATCTATCTATCTATCTATCTATCTGCCTGCTTACTACCCACTTTCCCTAGTGATAGGTAGATAAATAAGCTATATTGAAGTACTGAGAAAATATTGTTTGATATGTGACAGATTTTGAACATTAGTTAAAAATTACAACCAAGGTCGACAGAAAACTAAGCAATCGAGAAAAGGCAATTCTGAGAAAAGGATTGCATCAGAAAGAAAAAGTCAGAGTACATTTGATCTAGCATAGAACAATATCTGCATGGTCAAGAGAAATATTGACTTCATTTAACCAAAACTTTCTTACACAACAATATGCGTTGTTGTTTTTTACATTTCTAATTGAAATAAAATTCACATAAATAAAATTCACCATCTCAACCATTTAAAGTATATAACTCAGTGGTTTCTATTCTATTCATATGTTGTACAACCACCACCACTATCTAATTCCAGAACATTTCCATCACCCAGAAAGAAACCTCAGACCCATTACGCAGTCACTCCATCTCCTTCTACCCCCCCAGCCCCTGGGAACTACTAATCTATTTTCTCTCTATGGATTTGCCTATTCTGGATATTTCATATAAATGAAATCATAAAATACTGGTCTCTTGTGTCTGTTTTTTTCACTTAGCACAACGTTTTCAAGGTTCATCTGTGTTGTAGCACAGATCAGTACTTCATTCCTTTTTATTTATTTTCATCTCTAAGCATTTTATTTTTCCTCTCTCTCTTTTTTTTATTGTTCAAAATATTACAGATGTCCCCTTTCCCCCCACTGACCCCTTCCGCCCCACACCCACTGCTTTCCTTTTTATGGCTGAATAACATTCCACTGAATGGGTCCCCCACACTTTGTTTTGCCATTCATCAGCTCATTGGGTTGTTTCCACTTTCTGGCTATTATGAAAATGCTACTATGAACATCTGTGTACACATTTTTTGTGAACATGTTTTCATTTCTCCTGGGTATATACCTAGGGGTGAAACTGCTGAGTCACATGTAAGTCTACGTGTAACTTTTTGAGTAACTATCAAATTGTTTTCCACAGCAGCTGTGCCATTTTAAATTCCCACCAGCAATGTACGAGGGCGCCCCTTTCTCCACATCCTTGCCAACACTTACTATACCCGTCCTATTTGGTGTGAATTAGTGTCCCATTGTGGCTTTGATTTGTATTTCCCTAACGAATAGTAATACGCTTACTGCCCATTTGTAAACCTTCTTTGGAGAAATGTCTATTTAAGTCCTTTGCTCATTTTTTAATTTAGTTGTCTTTCTATTGTCAAATTGTACTAGTTCTTTATATATGCTGGATATAGGACTTTATCAGGTACATGATTCACAAATATTTTCTCCCATCCTGTAGACTGTATTTTTACATTCTTAATAGGGCCCTTTGGTGCCATGATTCCTGACCCTTTACATCTGCTGGGCCTGTTTAATATCCCTGCCTGGAAGCTTTCGGGGTGTTCTGAAATCGACTCATCTCGGCAGGTCCTCATGGCTAGAAGATACCGTCCTCTGGCCGTATGTAAGACCTACACCCTCTTCTCCTGCGGCCAGGAGTCAACAGATGAGATCTAACACCAATGAAGAAATGCTGATGATGGCCTAAGTTTAGGGACTATGGAAGCAAGTGCCAGGGACAGCAGCCAGGAAAGCTGAGGGTGACCACTAACGAAGGGTGGGGGAGAACGGGCCGAGGCGTACCTGCAAAAGACTTCAGTGCTGTCTTTCTAAAAGCCACAGTTTGAGAGGAAAAAATTAATTACGCTTACTTTGCCAGCTTTTAAGTGTATGTGTGTGTGGCCTCTTGTCTTCCGGAATATTCTCCTGTGACCAACCAGTGCTGCCACCCACCACCTCCGTGTGGTTCCCCTTGCTTTGCACTTAATACAGTTACTCAGTACGAGGTTTTAGTAACAACAAGGAACCAAAAAAATTCAACTGAACAATTTCTGAAGACTGAGCTTTAAATGGAAGTGAATTGCCTGCAAATTCTCCCTGTACAGCTCCGTCACTTGTAGTTAATTAATCTGCTGGTATTAAGAATAACTTCCTGTTTAAATTCTCTTGTAAATTAAGAATATTTCCTTTTTCCCCCTTTTTTGAGGTGGGAGAACTTACCCTGACTCTCTCCATCTGTGTGCCAAATGGGTACAACAGCTCAAACAGAATGAGGCCTAACGAGAAGATGTCCACTTTATGAGAGTAGCTGTTTCCGTGAATCTGAAATCGCACATAAAGAAGAAATATTAGAAAACGATTAACAGAGAAAGTACACTTGATAATATGGCACTGGTGAATCCCAGAGCTGACGTAGTCACTTGTTTAGGTACAGACTGTCAGCAAAGGGTTAATAACCTCACAAGCCTCTTTTCTTCAACTCTCGGCAGCGGGAGTAATTAACTTAGTCAGCATCACAGAAGGGACCCGGCCTGAGATATGCATCAGCCAGGCAGGCCCGGCAGCTAGAGAGGTTTGTGGGAGCAGTAAAAGCTGCTCCACTACCCTGAGGTGAGGTTTTTCAAAGTGAACACTATCTACAGCAGATCTCTCATTTCTAACCATCTTAGTGCTCACCCATTTTTATGAGAAAATCTTCATTACTCCAAACCACTAATCAACTGCGTCACCCTCATTAGGGCACTTAATTATGGACTACCCTGCATTCCTAGTTGCATGTTTCATGTGCATATTTCCTATTCACAGCCAGAGATGAAGTCCTGCAGGGAAGGAGCCTATTTCTTTTGTATTCCCACCATCCAGCCCTGGGCTAAGTATAGAGAAGGCCCTCAATAAATACTTATTTGTTAAAATGAACACAAGAATTACAACCCAAACACTCTGAAGCAAAGCCTCATTCAAATTTAGGTGACCTTGGGGGACTCAGCAGAAGCCTTGTATTTGTGAAATTTGCTTCAGGCCTGTAACTTGACATTTGGCAAAATAAAGAAGGGTGTTACTCTGGGAATGGCACCACACCAGCATTTCCTCACTGCAGGAGGGAGTCACAGGTAGGAGCCTGGATGACAAACCCTCCACAACCTCCTCTCCAACAGCACTTGCTACCTGTCTCCAGGTTATTCTCACAAGCGGCCTGCCCCTGTGCTCACGGAACACAGAACATCAGACTCAAAGTCAGCACCAGCTGTGTCACCTTCCTCTCACCACTTAACCTCTTACCCCTGGGGTTTGGAAAACAGGCAAAGAAAATAGATTCAACAGAGCTTACCAGGTACAGAGAAAAAGACATCCCCGTATGATATGTGGAGAACATAAACTAACACGCCTTCATGAAAAGCCACTGGCAGTAAGTGTTCACTCCCAGTTGATGGCCCTAACTGATTCCACCCACCCTAGGAGAGATGGAAATGTGGACAGAGGTTTGTGCATGGGGGAGTTATCTCAGAGGTAGAAGAAATGGGCTCAAGAAACAAGTTATAGAGGCAGAGAAAGGGCCCTTGGAGCTTAGGAGTGAGGAAGGTAAAAGTAACATGCCTGGGGGGGAGGGGGTTCATTTTTAATTTCTAAATTTACTTGAGGTTTCTCCTTTTTAAGTAGATTGGCTAGAAAGGATTATCTTTTTTATTTAAAACTTAAAATCTACCATAATGCTGTTGTTTCACCAGTATGAGTTCCCATTCCTGTTTAACATTCTGCAGCTCCTCCTACCGAGCAGAATGCTAAGTCACTTAGGCAGTAGTGTGTTTATATAATGAAGACTTTAAAATAAATATATCTCCAAATAGAATGTTGATAACTTCCTGTGAACTTCAATACTTTTTCATTTCTTTCACTTTTTTCTTAATACTTTGCATGAGCATTTTTATTCACCCAATAGTTACTTAGGAAGGTGTTTTAAATTTCCAGCTAGCCAAAACAGAAACACAAACGTAAATCAAAACAAACCACTATCATCTTTTTTCACTGCACAGTGATTACAGCAAAACATTCACAAGTTTTGTGTTCAAACACATTTATGGTCTAGAAATCTGAAATTAAAGTGATTCCATTGTAATTAAACTAATTATTAATAATAGGGAAAGAGCAAAGGAGGGGGGCAGTTGTTACAGGCCTGTCATTTGGGCAGCTTCACCAAGAAGCTAAAGCTGTGCACTCCCCAGGGAGCCACTGGTCTATTCCCTGCAGATCGCTGCGGGAAGGGATCGGACAGGGAGGAGACCAGACCCATGCCCAGTACAGCTGAGGTGCTGTCGGGAAGGTACTTGCTTGTCAGTCACACCTGGGAACAGGTCATTGTCCAGAATGGGCGTGGCCACTGCAAAGGCTTGAGATTTGGGATATTTAATACCCTAAATAAAGGAGTTCGCTCTCTCACTCTCTTGGTTGCTCTTGGCATGTTGTGCTTCACACCTGGCTTGTAGGGCTCTCTCACCCTTGCTCCCCTGCATTTACCCACAAGGGCCATGGCCATGTGAACACCCCCCTCCCCCCACAATGGACAAATGGACTCTAACTAGCCTGATGCCGAACCAGACCTGCCTGCAACACGGAACAGAAACTCTGAACACTGGCTTTGCTTCTAGCTCTACTGAAGCCCCAGCTACACTTCTTCTATAATTGGACTAAGGGAAATGGGAGTTCAGAAATACAAATAAGTAATTCCTTGCAAAATAAAAACCACTCATCCTCCCATGTGAATCTCAGAAAATTCTTTCTCTTGAGATATCATAAGGACCCCACCCCCAGCACTCACTGGGGAAGACGGTACCCCAATTTCCGCAATAACGAAAGTATATCTTATTTTAATTTATTAATAAATGTTCAAATACCAACTACCAACTATAAATGAGGCCTAGTATATTTTTCATCTAGCTTCCATGCATGGGTAAAGGATCCATTCAAAATGCAAAGTGAGCCCTGACTGGTGTGGCTCAGCTGGTTGGAGCATCACCCCGTGCACGGAGGGTCATGGGATCGATTCCTGGTCAGGGTACATACCTAGGTAGCAGTTTCGATCCCCAGTCAGGGCTCGTGCGGGAGGGAACTGATCAATGTTTCTCTCTCACATTGATGCTTCTCTCTCTCTCTCCTTCTCCCTTCCTCTCTCTCTAAATCCTCAGGTGAGTATTAAAAAAATGCAAAACGAACTAAGGGTATTTAACAGAGTAGAAAATGTTCAATGATACGTATGGTTTTGGATTCCACAGGGCAAATGACCTTTAAGGAACTACCACTTATTGAGTTCTGATGCACCATCAAAGAGGAATACCCACAATTACCTGAAAATGCTATTAAAACATTCCTCCCTTTCCAACTACATAATTGTATGAGGTCACATGTCTTCATTCACTTCACACAAAATAACACATTGCAACAAATTGAATGCAAAAACAGACAGGAGAATCCAGCTCTTTTAAGTCAGGTACTAAAGAGATTTGTTAAAATGTAAACCAATATCGCTCTTCTCACCAATGCTTTTTTGTTTGGGGAAATATTTATCACAAAAATATCTTTAGGGAAAGATAGATTTAATATTGCTATTAACTAAATAAAATTTTATAAAATTTCCGTTTTATCTCTAATAAGCAAATAGTGATAAATAAAATCTTGTAAGGAAAACTCTTGGGTTCTCGATCATATTCACATGTATAAACAGGTACTCGTGTTGCCGTTATTAGCTAGCTATTGAGAGGAAGAGAGCAAGGGAAGTCGGACATTGTTATGCTTCCCAGGAAGCTACAGCCTCATGCCCCAAGGAATCGGCATTTCCCTCCAAGGGGATTCATACTCCTCCTCCCTTCCCTTCTCCAGGACTGGATGGTGTGTGGGAGGGAGAGCAGGGGGGATAAGCACGTGCCCAGTAAAGTCAAAATCACGCAGGGGGAGGGCTTGACCCTAGAGGCCTGTCAGTCTAACCTAGGAAATGGATCACTGTACCCATCAGAAGCCCACAGAACCTCGGGAAGTTCATTGGTTATTTTGAAAAAGCTCCTTGTTAAAACCTCAGGAGAACAAAGCGCTCTCTCTCTCTCTCTGTGACCCGCATTTACCCCCTTTGTCCGTGTTCTCTCCTGCCCAGGAGCATGCAACCACGCAACCACACAGGTCTAGTGGCCACCTGGGGCCCTCGGCAGACTGCGTGGGCTCCAAAGGACTATGAAGCAGAAACTCTAGGCACTGGGTTTTATTTTGGCCCTGCTGAAGAAAGGTGAGACTTTTTCCATGGTGGGAAGGAGGGAGGTGGGACATGGGGAAGCCAGGAAGGGAAATTCTTTGATTTTGTCACAAATAAACCATGCCGCACCACAATCTCCCCTTCATGGATCCTTGAAATGCTTTTCTCAAGATCCAGTGGAAGAGCTTGTTCCCCTCCCACAACACTGAAAACAAAAAGTCAGAATGGCTGACCTAAGCATAAATAAGCCTGTGCATGCCAATAGCCTGATGGTGGCTGGGCATGCTATTCTGAAGCTCTCCAGGCAGCCTGCTCCCACTGCTCTCCCAGTCTCTGCGCTGTTCTGGTGGAGGCTCAGCATCCCACAGGCAAGATTTTCCAGCCTATCTACCTTTATCTCCTGCCACAGTACATTCTGGAAGTTGCCCGTGAATTACGATAGAGGGCAGCTCAGTATAGTACCTCTGGCTCTAGCTTCTTTGAAAACAGTTCCTAGTTTACACAAGGTGAACTGGGGTTAAGTTTGGGAGGGGTTCAAAGTCTCTTTATAAATTTCTGGTTGCTGTCGGGTTCTGGTTCAGAGGGTGAGCATGTTTTATGCATTGAGTGTGTGTTTTTAATCCATCCTCAATTCAAGTTATAGAAACTGCCCCCTAGCTGTGCAACACTACAACCAGTCTTCATATGTTTCATTTTTTATTTTATTGGGTATTTTAAGTAGAACATAGATGGGGACTCATGGGGCATTATCTAGCTTGCGGTCATGCGAGCTAAAAATCTGTTTTTAATGAAGAAAGAAAGGAAAACCCCTCACCTGTTCTGGGCTCATATACAGTTTGGTCCCGACTTGTCCTGTGTGCCGGGGGTATGCTGGCATTGGGGTCAGAACCACCTGCTCCTCCTCATCCTGGTCCATTGCCGTCACTAATCCAAAGTCTCCAACCTTGATCACGTCATCCATTGTAAAGAATATGTTGGAAGGCTGGAAAAAATAAAACAGACAAAAGCACAATGGATGTGTACAGAAAAGGAGAGAAAGCGAAGGGAATTATTACAATGACAACAGAGTACAAAGAACTAGATATTCTCAAGCATGTTTCCTTTAAAATGAGCTAATCTGAAAACAACACAATCCTTCCATGCTGACAATTACTGTGAGTAAAGAGAAGGGGAGATTAGTAGAGGGAGTCAACATTTACATGTAGTCATTTAGCTCTATTTAAACAGCATCTATTTAAACATTTAGATATTCCCATTACCTAGGGCCCAGGGTATTTAATGTGCAATCTTATTATTCTATATATTCTCCCCCTGGCAAGCCTCTCTACATTTGTAACCGAAGCCATGACTACAATAATAGTAACAATAAAAGCAAATGCATATATAGCATTTAAAATATGCCAGGAGCCACTCTAAGTTGTTTCCTACTATTAACTCATGTAATACTCACAAGCCTATTAGTTCTATTAGTCCTTCATTTTACAGATGTGAAAACTGAGGCTCAGAAGGCCCTGAGAAGTTAGGTAAACTGCCCAGTGTTACCAAGGTGGAGCAGGGACTCAAACTCAGGCCGTCTGGCTCCATGAGAAGAGGCTGGCTGCTTCACTACCAGAGGTCCAGCACTCAGCACAGCTTGTGCCTTATGGTGGCTAATCACTACTGTTTGATGAATGAATGAAACAGAATGATGTTCGGGTTGACGTCTGAGAGGGAAAAGTAGGCTATCAAGGAGAGTAAAGCTCTTAAGTGCAACCTGTGCTGCCGCTTCTAACACCCACATGCTCCCATGTATTCCAAGACCTCTGGTCCAAGGTATAAACTCTCACACGCAACTGTTTAAAAGCTACAGCTAACCGAATTTCTCCTGCTCCTTAAACTCCAAGCCCCCTACATGAAATACGTGATCTCCTTCGAACCAAAACCAACCATCTTTATCTTCTCACTCAGTGCAGAATGATTCCTGGCAATGAGTTCTGGCCACATCAAAATCACTGGAGCACAGTGATTAGATACAATTCAACAACAATTACTTTGGAAAACAGGAATTATTTCTAACTTGCATTCCTGTTATTCTAAACTCTTAAAGTATATTTGAGGATTAAAAAGCCTGCTGTTGACTTTAAGAAGAAAATTACTCATCCAAATAGCTACTTTGGTGCCTGAAACAAATTTGTGGTTACATAAAACAAAACTGAAAATACTTAAAATGGGTCTAAATCTCACAAGAATTTAAGCAACTTCCATCAGAAAAATACTTACGTATTCATTACACATCTTTTTACAATGAGGACAGTATGAGCACATGGAATATGGCAGAAATCAGTCACATAAAAGTTCCAGGTGCTGATTTCAGAAGCACATACTGAAGACACACTGCATGTTCTAGTAGGAACCTGCTATAATTCAGCATAGTGCATTGCTACAATATTCAATACTGTATACACTGCAGATAGAATCGGTGCTTATCATCCAGCTTCTCACCTCCTTCCCCAAACCTGAACAGTTCAGGAACAGGGGCAAAAAGAATGGCAACTGGCCCGAGTTCAGAGCTGGCAAATGTCTCTCCTTCCGCTTGGGTCCCTTTCAGTGTGCTATTTAGGACCCTACGGGAACCTGTGCCAGGGTTACTCAAAGCCACAGAAAATGGTATTGGATTTTACATGATTTTTTTTTTCTTCTAGAGCTTGGGAATGCTTTTCACTGTAAAATGGACATAAACCCATTATAGAGGAGAGTTCACGATTTGCCTGAGGTCTCTAAATCATGTGATTTCTTATTTTTGCAGCAGGCCCTTCAGGCTACATTCCCAGATCTCTGTTCCTGATGCCTTCACTCTCCTCCACTCTCAGGGGTACTGCCCAAAATGCCAGCTCGCAGCCCATGGGTGACGCCGCATAGTACCGACCTTGAGGTCCCTGTGCATGAGCCCCTTGCTATGCAGGAACTCCACCGCCTCCGCGATCTGCAGGAAGATGTGCAGGCATGTGCCCAGCCCCCTCTCCTCCATGCTGCACCTGCTGTTCATCCAGTCCTTGAGGTTCTCTTTTCTGCACAGCTGCATCTGAATGTAAAGATATACCTTCGGGGAGCTGGGCTGCAGCTTTTCTGCAGTGTTTTTAGTGAGATCAAGACTTAAAGTGGTTGGTCTTGGAAGAGAAATAGACAGAGTAGGGTCTGAAGATTTGCTACTGGAATGTTTGGTGGGAGGCAGTTTATTAGTACAATGGTTGCCAATGTGCAGCCGGTTAGTTTTGGGCTCTTCTTTACTGGACGCATTATCACAGCCTGAATCTTCAAACACTATGGAAGAGGAGGTTCTCTCCCTGGACCTCACAGAAGGAGAAGCTCCAGAAGAACAGAGTTCAAAGGAGTGCCCCTCCTCGCTGCCTTCCACAGTGCCATCATCCACATCACAGTCTGTGAGGCAGCTGTCCTGGAGGTTGCACACGGCACCCACTGACTCACTGGTGTCTCCCCAGTCCAGTCCAGAAAATTCCACTGGAGAGAAGTGGCTCTCCGATGAACTTCTCTGGCCACAGGAAATCCCTACTGAAAAAGACCTGCTTCTTTGTGACGAAGGAGCTATGATTTCAATATGTTCCTTTGTGGAGAAAGGATCCATTCTGCGTATTTTAACTGATGGTGCATCCATTGGACTAGGAGAGCTGAGTGGCCAGTCTGTGCTAAAAGTCGGACAGATACACAAGGATAAGAGTAAACAGGTGTTGACTAAATTATGTGAAATACACCCTTTGTTTTAAAAGCTTCAACTACAATAAAGCCAGTTACTAAAACACAAAGGGCAAATAGATTAAAACCAAAACATGCTATGAGACAAAGAACATCACATTCCTTCTAAAAAACACAATTTAAGACATTAATTTATACTTGGAGCTATTATCCGGGATTGCGACGCAGGGGCAGTCAAGGCCTTCATGTACAACCCAAAGCACTGAAGGAAAACCAAGGACAAGAGCCCTTGGTGGCTGTGACTCTGAAGCCCTGACCCATTGGGGCAGAAGCTCACAGGGCTTGGAGACAAGAGGCCACTTCACTGGATCCTTCCATGGTCTGGCTATCGGCCTAGTCTATAACATGTGTCACTGAAGGGCTGTGTTTGGTTCTTTAAGGCAGGAATTTTACTCCAGCCAATAGGTAAATAGTCTGTTTGCAACTTGTTCCTCTTTGTTCTCCGTCAGTAGTTTTTGAAAGGGCCTTCCCTCCTGCAGAGCATATTTAATATAGGAATTATCTTCAGGTTGCACAAGGTTATGTATTTTTAACTGCAGATAATTGAAAACTACCTTAAAAAGGAGCTGCAAATTGTTAACTACTAAAAAACTGAGTAAAAATTTTTAAAGATGTAGACAGAAGCATACAATATCTTTTATTGAGAAAAGCCATGTTAGATCCTTCAGTGAATTACAATTCACAGAGCCCTGTCTACTAAAAATTTTAAATTCCCGATCTGGCTCAGTGACATCAGTAGCATCATACGTAGGAGGGCCTCCAGGTTTCTCTCCCCTGAATTTACATCAAGATAGACAGTTATAATCAACAAATGACCGATTCTCTGCTCAACACACGAACATGTCTGAGAGATCCACAAAGAGACATCTGACCATGGTGGATATATCAGGTGAACAGGGGAGATAGGACACGAAGGACATAGACAGGAGTTGCAGATCCAATCAGGCACTTGCCACGGCCCAGCTGACACAATACCAATGAAGGGTGGGAAGCAAATGGGGGGGGCTCTCACTGGGCACACTGGAAAGGCAGACACAGCATTGGGGCTAGACTGGCACACACTGAGGCTGAGCCCAGAGTCAAGGCAGAAAAGTGGTGCAAAGGGTGGCAGCATGCCAAACCCACCATCATCTGACAGAGGATTTCAGATGCAGGAACCTGCCCACATGTCCCCCTCTGGCCTGCCCGGCAGTAAAATCCTTCCTCAGAAGATCACAAAGGGTCAGGAAAAACTTTCCAGCTAAAGTGGTCTGTACTCACTGCAGCTAAACCCACTAAAAGGAAAAAAGCCACAGACAACCAAACTCGTTCCCTCCTCTCCAGCCCGTCATCCACACATCCAGGGGACCCTGGTGTCAACTCAGATAGATCAGCTCTGCCTGCAACTTCTGGCTACAGGAACGGAAGTGGGAACACACATGCCAAGAGACCCATAGAGACCCACCACATCCCACCACAGGGGTGGTGGCCGGAGACCCAGGCAACCGGTCACAAGGGCAATGCGCACTTCCTAGGGTAACCTAGGCATTTTTTACCCCACAGATATTCCAGAAGACAGGTAAGAAAAAAATAAAACTTGTGCTTCAGCACCACCTACTGGAAAACAAAAGAAAGACATCTACCTATCAACCTGCTAACCAATAGAGTAAAATACTTAAAAGATAGTAAGATTTCACTTCCACAAATTCCCAGGCGGAAAAATAATCTATCAAGCATAACAAATAACCAAGGTTACAAGAAGGCTCAGAAAGAAAATGAAAAATCTCTGGAAAACAAACTATAAAAAAAAAACAACCCAGAAATTTTGGAGCTGAAGAACTTAATAAAAATCTAGAACTGAGACACATAACAAAAAAAGAGGAAACAGGATAAAATCATAGTATACCAACAAACTCAAACAACAGACAGGAACACAAAGATAAAAAACAATGGAGACACAGAACTACCAGAAAACAAAAGATAAAATGGAGATGGGAAATCCTCATACATCCATAGTTGCCCTAAATGAAAATGGACTGAATTCACCAATTAAAAGGCACAGGGTCTTGGGATAGGTTTAAAAAACAAAAACAAAAAACAAACAAACAAAACCCAATTATATTCTGCTTTTAGGAGACACATCTCAACTACAAAGACAAACAAAGATTCAAAGAGAAGGGGTGCAAGATAATACTCCAAGCAAATGGCATCCAGAGGAAAGCAAGTGTAGCCATAATTAAATCAGACAAAATAGATTTCAAGATAAAAAAGGTAACAGGAGACAAAGACAGACATTTTATAATGATGAAGGGGACAATACATCAGGAAGACATAACACTTAATAATAAATATGCACTCAACCTGGGAACACCAAAATATATAAAGCAACTACCAACAGAACTAAAGGGAGAAACTGACAAATACAATATAATAGGAGACCTAAATATCCCACTGACAGCAATAGATAGATCATCCAAACAGAAAATCAGTAAGAAAATATCGGCTTTACATAACACATTAAACCAAATGAGCATAATCGCTATTTACAGAGCTCGTCATCTGAGAACACCAGCATATACACTCTTCTCTAGTGCACATGGAACATTCTCAGGGACAGACTATACATTAGGGCACAAAACTAGTCTCAACAAATTTAAGAAGACTGAAGTTATACCAAGCATATTCTCTGACCACAATGATTTGAAACTGGAAACCAACTGCAAAAAGAAAGATGGAAAAACCACAAAGGCGGAAGTTAAAGAACATGCTACTAAACAACTACTGGGTAAAAGAATAAATAAAAGGAGAGATCGAAAGATACACAGAGACAAATGAGAATGACAGTCCGAAATGTCAAAATTTGGGGGATGGAGCAAAAGCAGTAATAAGAGGGAAGGTTACAGCATTATAGGCCTACCACAAGAAATAAGAAAAATCTCAAATAAACAACCTAACATTTCACCTTAAAGAAACAGAAAAAGAACAAGTGAAGCCGAAGTAAAAATTAGAGTAGAATTAAATGAAATAGAAAACAAAAATACAATAGAAAAAAATAATGCAACAAAGAGCTGGTTCTTTGAAAGAATTAATAAAATTGACAAACCTCTGGCTTGACTCACTAAGGAAAAAAGAGAAAAGACTCAAACAAAATCATAAATGACAGAGAAGTTAGAACGGACACCACAGAAATACAAAGGTCTACACAAGACTACTACTGCCCTGGCTGGTTGGCTCCGTGGTTAGAGCGTCAGCCCTGAGACTGAAGGGTCCCGGTGGGATTCCGGCCAGTGGCACGTACCTCAGTTGCAGGCCCATGAGGGAGGCACCCAATCGCTGTGTCTCTCTCACATTGATGTTTCTCTCTCTCTTTCCCTCTCTCCCTTCCACACTCTGAAAAGCAATGGGAAAAATATTCTCAGGTGAAGCTTAAAAAAAGAAAAGAAAAAAAGAATACTATGAAAGGCTGTAAGCCACCAAATTCAATAACCTAGAATAAATGGACAATTTCTTAAAAATATATAACCTTCCTAGACTGAATCATGAAGAACTGAAAAATCTAAACAGACTGATCAACAGCCAGGAAATTGAAACAACCACCAAAAACTGCCCAAAAATAAAAGCTGAGGACCAGATGGCTTCACTAGTAAACTCTACCAAATATTCAAAGATTTAATACTTATCCTTTTCAAACTCTTCCAAAAAAACTGAAGAAGCAGCAATAATTCCTAACTCATCCTATGAAGCCAACATTACCTTGATATCAAAACCTGGCAAGGGTAACACACACAAATTACAGACCAATCTCTCTGACGGTTATAGGTGCAAAAATCCTAAGCAACACACTAGCATACGGAATAGAACAATACATTAAAAGCATCATACATCACGATCGAGTGGGTTCATTCCAGTGGCGCAAGGATGGTTTAACATATGCAAGTCGATCAATGTTAATATACCACATTAACAAAATAAAGGATAAAAATCATATGTCAATAAATAGAGAAAAAGCATTTATGATTAAAATTGTCAATAAAATGGGTATAGAAGAAAAGTACCTCAACATAATAAAGGCCATATATGACAAATCCTCAGCTAATATCACACTCAATGGTGAAAAATTGAAAGCTTTTCTTCTAGATCAGGAACAAGACAAGGATGCCCACTGTGCCACATGTATTCAGCATAGGACTAAAAGTGTTGGCCAGAGCAATCAGGCAGGAGAAAGAAGTAAAAGGCATCCAAATTGGGACTGAAGAAGGAAAGCTGCAACCTTTGCAGACGACATGATTCTGTACATAGAAAATCCTAAAGACTCCACCAAAAAACTATTAGAAACAATAACAAATGCAATGAAGTGGCAGAATACAAAATGCACAAAATCTGTTGCATTCCTTTTTCTAACAATAAAATATTCGAAAAAGAAACGAACAAAACAATTTCATTTCCAATCACAACAAAAATAATAAAATAGCTAGGAATAAACTCAGCAAAAGATGTGAAGGACCTATACACTGAAAAGTACAGGACACTGGAAATAGATGGAAGAAGACAAAGAAATAGAAAGATATTCCCTGTCATGGACAGGAAGAACCAACATAGTTAAAATGGCCATATCACCTAAAGCAATATACAGATTTAATGCAATCGCTGTCAAAATCCCAACAGCATTTTTTGTTTTTTAAATTGAACAAAAAACAGATACACAAGCCAATGGAACAGAATTGAGAGCCCAGAAGTAAATCCACATGTATATCGGCAAGTAATTTTCAACAAAGGAGCCAAAAACATACAATGGAGAAAAGAGAGTCTCTTCAATAAATGGTGTTGGGAAAATTACAAAGCTACATGCAAAAGAATGAAACTAGGCTGCTACTTAACACCATATATAAATATTAACCGAAAATGGATTAAAGACTTAAGAAAACATACGTACTAAATTTATAGATCTTGGTCTCAGAGAGGATTTTATGAACAAAGGCAAAAGAAGTAAAATAAAAAATAAATGAACGGGGCTGCATCAAACTAAAAAGCTTCTGCACAGCAAAAGGAACTATAAACAAAACAAACAGGCATCCAACTGAATGGGAGAAGATATTTGCAAACAATACCTCTGATAAGGGGCTAATATCCAAAATATATTAAACAACTCATACAACTCAACAAGCAAACAAATAATCCAATTAAAAAATGAGCAGAGGACCTGAACAGATACTTTCCCCAAGAAGACATACAAACGGCCAACACATAAAAGATGCTCAACTTCACTAGGTATAAGGGAGAGTCAAATCAAAACCCCAATGAGATACCACCTTATACTTTTAGGATGGCTATTATCAATAAGACAAGAAATAAAAAGTGTTGGAGAGGGTGTGGAGAAAAAGAAACCTTCATACACGGCTGGTGGGAATGTAAACTGGTGCAGCCACCATGGCAAACAGTATGGAGGTTTCTCAAAAAACTAAGAACAAACATGATTGTCTATCATGCTCTATATCTAAAACTAATACAGAATAATATTGACTATAAACTGTAATTAAATTTTTTTTTTTAATTTAAAAATAGAGCTATCATATGACCCAGTAATCCCTCTTCTGGGTATCTACCTGAAAATTTGGAAAACATTTATTTGTAAAGATACACGTACCCTTCTGTTCACTGCAGCATTATACCTGGTGGCCAAAACATGGAAACAACCTAAGTGTCCTTTGATAGATGATTGGATAAAGAAGATGTGGTACATATATACCATGGAATACTACTCAGTCATAAGAAAGGATGGAATACTACCATTTGAGATAACATGGATGGATCTTGAGAGTATCACACTAAGCAAAATAAATCAGATGGAAGATGACCATATGATTTCACTCATATGTGGGATTATAAAACAGAAAGCTATACACACATAAAGCAAACATATTAACTCAGAGACACAGACAACAGAAGGGTGATTATCAGAGGGAAAGGGGGCTGGGGGTAGGAGGAAGAGAGTAAAGGGGGTCAAGTACATGGTGATGGAGGGAGACTAGACTTTGGGTGGTGAGCACACAATGCACTATACAGATTATGTATTATAGACTTGTACACTTGAAAGTTATATGTTATTAACCCATGCCACCCAATAAATTTAATAAAAAATTCATGTTCTGGATAAAAAAGGAAAAAAAAAATCATGTTTAAATATTAAATGAACTTTCACTTAACAAGTGACTGGAGAATGTTCCAAAACATGGTGAGAGAGAATAGTAATCTGCTGTTATTTTTCTTTTTAAAAAAGTCATCTACAAAATTATAGAAATAATATTTTGTTTGCATAAGCAAAAAACTAACCTGAAAGAAAATGCTAGTTTTTAAGTCCATGTCTAACAATGTTACCTTTCATCCTTCAGCCAAATTTCATCCATTTTTTCTTGCCACTCCTCTGGCGGAGCTTCCAACCAAGCATTGAAGTATCTGACGATTCCTGGGTGCTCAAGCTTGGCTAAGGCTTTAACTTCTCGCATTACCTTTTCCCGAGCCAATTCCCTAAAACGGAGAAGAAAGACACTGCTGTGATCTGAAGAAGTAATCATATCCAATAGTTCGAAATAAAATTCTCCCTAGGATCTAAAATTAGAAACAGATGAATTAGCCTAGTGGCATAATTCTGAAAAGTCAATATTAAGTCCTATACTTAAAAAAAATACATTTAGTGTTTTTTTGTTTTTTTTTGTTCTAGAAATTAGTGCTACAAGCACATCTATTGCTTCATTTTTTAAAAAAAAGCTTTCTTGACTCATTAAAAATGGGTAACTAACAGACCTTTAAAGGTAATTGCTTAATGTTTTCTAATGAACAGGAACAAAGTGAAGTATTTGGAAAACAGAGCTCAGTGTCGCAGCTCAGGAAGATGGAGAGAGATCACCCAACAGGGAACTTATTGCAATCCAAAGAGCCTGTCCTAGCATGTTTGCTTGAAGCAAGCCTCAACTCCTGAATGTCAGGCAATGAAACTGAACTCAAAAGCGTTTGACCTTTTACTGGGATAGCTTTGAGGATGGCTCTACTCTCATATTTCTAGGGATCTCGCTATCACCTGAACAACGTAAGTACAAGTTATACCCAGGAGGTGGTCAGCTATTCCCACTTTCCCCCTGTGCTTCATTGTTACTGTCCGCTCTCTGAGAATCCTGGAATGTTCCTGAATTCGTCGACTCCCAGGTGCTCACATTCAGTTAGTTACCAAATCCAATCAGCTCCTCCTTTTCAATTCTTTACACTCATTCCTTTCTCATCTGTCCCCACTGCGGTTGTACTAATGTTCTGTATCTTAAGACTAAACTTTTGTAACAGTACATCTCCTGACTAACATTTTTGTCTCTGACCTGCTCCTCATATCAGCCATCTCCACACCACCTCCAGGGCACCTCCACTTTGATCACTGTTGGCATTCTTCTGTTGAGAGGCATGACTGTCTACAAAATGAAATCTGAACTCCTTTGCTTGACATTTAAGGTGCTGGAACCCATCTTTTCCATCTTCTCTTCCATATCCACCTTACCCTTTGCTCCACCCTTGCCAGAACACTCAAGGTCCTCTTTACCACCTGAGTGCCTGCCTAAAGCCTCTGCTCAGGCCTCTTCAAGTACCTGGCCATCCCTCCCCTGCACATCTGGCTTCTGAGGGGCAGGCTACTCTTGAACACTCAGAGCAGATGTCTCTACCCCCATAAATCTTGCCTTCCTTGACTGCCTTTCAGGGACATCTGCTTTCTTCATGAGAAACTATTTACTTAGCTAAGTCATGGGTCACAATCTCCCTTGCACTGTAATTATCTGAGTATGTATATGAAAGCCTCAAATAGTTACAGGTTCTTGAGCACAGACGCCTTCCTATGCGGTGCCTTGCATGTGTAAATATTTAAACTACGGCCCGGCCGGGCGTGGCTCAGCGGTTGAGTGTCGACCTAGGATCCAGGCGATCGGGGTTGGATTCCCGGTCAGGGCACATGCCCGGGTTGCGGGCTCGATCAATGACTCTCTCATCATTGATGTTTCTATCTCTCTCTCTCCCTCTCCTTTCCTCTCTCTGAAATCGATAAAGACATATTTAAAAATAAATGAATATTTAAACTACTCAACAATTATATATCAAAGAAAAGAATTAGTCCCATAGCACTCAAACCATCCCATCTGTGTCCCTATCTGTTGGATAGAACATCTGACTACCAGTTAGAACAGCCCAGCAATTAGTGCACATTTATTCAAGAATCCACGATTCTTGAGTGAAATCGTGTGTGGAATCTAAAGAACAAAATAAGCTAACAAACAAAATAGAAACAGACTCATAGAGAACAGACTGACAGCTGTTATAGGGCAAGGGGGTTGGGGGGCTGGGAGAAAAAGGTGAAGGGACTAAACAAACAAACCAACAAACAAGAAAAACAACAACTCAGATATAGACAACAGCCTGGTGATGACCAGAGGGAAAGGGGACGAACGGTGATGGCGGGGGACTTCACGCGGGGTGGTGAGCACACAATGCAATACAGAGATGATGTGTTACAGAACTGTACACCTGAAACCTATATAATGTTATTAACCAATGTCACCCCAATAAATTCAATACAAATTTTAAAAAGAAAAAGAAAGAGAAAGGAATCTACAGGAGCCTTCTATACTATGTGGAAAGGAAGGCTCCACTGAAAGCTCATCACCTTAAGTATCAACTGTTCTGAGCCAGAAATTTTACTTCTAGGAATCTATCCCAAGGAAACAGCTGTGACCAAATACTTATATAAAAGATGAACACTGCAAAGTTATTTTTAATTCCAACAAATTGGGAACTTAAAGGTTGAACAGTAACAAATGGTTAAACATTATATGAAACATGTATTAACTGGGCTATCACCCAGCTATAAAATACATTTAACATATTTTAAAATTTTAATAAAATACTCTTATTAACTTGGAAAATGTTGAGGACACAATGAAGAAAGCAAGAGACGAAACTGTACTGAATTGATAATTAGGTAAGCTTATGACCAGAAAAAAAATCAAAAGGAAATACTCTGAAATGCTAATAGTGGTTATTACTGGGTAGGAAAAAATAGAAAATTTTTGTTTTAATACTTTTCCTTATTTTCCACAATAAATACATATTGTTTTTTGACATTATGTATTAAAATCTATAGTTATTAAAATTCACTACGGCAAAGTTCTGAGTTGTTAAAAATAAAAAACAAGGGCACATTTTAAAAAGTAGGTTTAAAGCAACCGAAGTTGATAACATCTTTTAGACAACTGGTTACCTGGTAGCACTGAGAACATAGGATTCAGAAGTTTAGGAACTCTCTCTGGAGTGCAAGAAGGAGGACACATCCCTTTGACTAGATTGTACAGTGCTAACTCCAAGTTTTCAAAAAGTACCGCCCATTACCTGTTGGGGAGGCGAATTCTCTTGATAGCATAATTGCAGTCGTCCACTTTGTTTCTAGCTTCAAAGACAACTCCAAACCCACCACGACCCATGCACTGAATTGGCTCAAAATCTGTTAGATATCTAAAAAAAAATTTAATAATAATAATTAATTAATTAAGTAGTTTTAAATTTTGTAGTGTGGTTAATAAGCAGTTCAATCTTATATTATGATATATAAATATATAAATTCAGTAAGTCACACAGAACTTATTTTAATAAAGAGTATAAGTTCTACTCATTGCATTCTTTGTTCTTCTGTTTGCATAAGCTAAGCAAACACATTCTAACTTTTTCCTTAGGAAATTTATAAAAAAATATAAAAGCTTCTGCTTCACTGGGAATCACTTGTTAATCACTTGTTCTTAAAGTAACTGTACTACTGTTCTGTCCTATCCAATACCTTCCATCATCTACCAAAATATTCTATCTTTACTTCTCTAACCTTTTAACTCCTGTGGTATTCTGTATTCAATACAAAAAATGTGTTTCAATTTTATGTCAGTGCCTGTAAGTTTTATGGAACAAATCCAATCAATCCTATTAAAATTAAGTACTTTTCAAGCCAGAAATCCCTCTAGGAACCAAAGCTATCTGTAACGAGCTGGGCTGCCTCATGACTCAGTATGCTCTTATTCAGACAGAAGCTGATTTGCCATCGGTCACTTACAGATGGCCCTCCATGCTGTAGTCTATTTCCCCTTTAGTGCCTGACCTCATTTATCTGCACTGTATTTTCCAACCAACCTGTACCAGGCTCTCTCACAACTTGAGAACTTTTGCTTCTGCTATTTGCTCTAATGGGATGGCCTACTTCTTTGTACCTAATGAAACTATTCTTACTTCATTCTGCTCATCTCACTACCTCTGTAAGCCCTTCCAACACCCCTGTGTCAATGTTCTCATAGCACTTTGCACATAATACTTTGAACTATTTAAACTTAATCTCAATATTTTGCAGTTATTTGTATGCAGCTCACTCCCCCCATGACCATTGGGTTGTGGGGGCCCTGAAAAACAGGAATGCATTCTCATGTCCCTTTGCATTTTCAGAGCCTGGGTTTACCTGGCAAGTAGAAGGTCTAGCAAATATCTACTAAATAATGCATGAGTTAATAAGTGAATGAGTGAATGCACACTGTGGAAGTTATCCTTCCAGCCCTATGGGGAAGAGTTGAATTAGGTTATATTTGAAATCCCTTATAAAGCGAAATTTACTACTTATGATTTGCACTCATGTTAATTTAGTAGTTGGCTTGGCTGGTTAGAGCATGGAGTTAGGGAGTAGAGGCAATAGATCCCAACCCTCCATGGACCTTCACAGAGAATGAAGAGTAGAAATCTGAACCCCTAAAAACTGCAAGACAAGGCACTTCAGTACAAATCTATCTCCCCAACTGCAAAAGCCCATGAAATTCATGTCCTACTCCTGGAGGGCCAACTGAATTATCTTCCTATGTTAAAGAAAACATTCATATGAAAATGGATCTATCTTCTGAAAGAGAAACATCTTATATATGCTTATAGACTCTATATGTATCAGCTTGTTGAAGGTCCCAACTGATAAACAAAAAGTTGGGACCAGGACTCAGTACTGAATCCAGAGCTCATTCTCTTAATAATGCCTAGACCATACTAGGCACGGAACATACACTAAGTATTAGTGCAGAGCTACTGTCTTTTAAAAATAGCTCTACCCTTCATAATAAAGAAAGTTAAAGGGAAATAAGGCCACTTGATTCTCTTCATGACAGCTGAGATGTATCTATTCATCGTCCCTCACTCCTCCCTCTGTCTCTACCTACCTAGCTCTTACTCACACATGAATTAGGGTTCAATTAAAACGTGATCTCATTTATGATGCCCTCTTGAGTCATCACAACCAGAGTTAGTTACTTAGTTCATGGCTTTTTCTAATATCTTTATGTTTCTTACCCAGTATTATCTCCCCCCCTAGACTTTAAGCCCCTCCAGGAGAGGCCCAGTCCTTCTTTCTCCCTCAGCCTGAAATACTGTCCCCCAGTGTTCAGAGTAAATGCTGAATAAATGATGAATGCCTCTGTAGATCACCCACCAGGAGCTGCCGGGTACCTTGCTCTCCACCCACTCACCGCCTGCTGGTATTGCTGGCCACCCACACATAGTCAGCATCTTTATTGGCAAGGATCGGAAAGCCCCTACCATTTGTTGGGCACCTAGTAAATACTGCTTTAAGAAATGAGCAGTTAAAACAAATTGATCACACATTTTAGCTATAATTTTCAATCTTTTCTGTCATAAAACCATTACACTACTTATTAAGCAGAAAGTTTCCATATCTTTTCCTTGTCCTAATTTACTAAAGTACTAAGTATAATACCAATACAAAGGGGAAGAGCAGCGATAACCATGTAACATGAAAAGTGAACCTCAGCACCACTTCCTGTCCCACACGCACCAATATCTGCACACGTGACACACTGCTCAGAGGCTCTACTTTTATTTCACTTTCAATTACTCAAACTGACTACTTGTTAGGCAACTCACTTACCTCTTCTGCTTTTAAAAATGTTCTATTCTATTGGTATATTTCACCCACCCTCCTACTTCTAACTCTAGACAGAATAAAGATGAAATAACTGAGGATTAAGTAACATATGGAGATTTATATCATAGTCTAATAACACAGTGATTATTATTTAGTGTTCTTAATGCCAAGCTCAGTATATGGTAGACCCTCAACAATTAATTTATCTGATAAAAACTTAATTTGGTGGCTGAAATGCTAAACTTCTGTAACACTCCATTTCTATCCATTTTAGGGTAGATACCACTTTGAATAAGTTTAAGTTACCTGAGGGTTAAATCTATGTTTTATTTTCCTAGATATTCACACATTTAAAAACAGTTAAACAAGATCTCACTTTGGAGGCCATCTCTTCGCTGATCCAAACAGTTGCCACCAGAAGCTGTAGCACATGCATGTGTTATGACCAGACTCTTACCGTGATATATATCCAGAGTTTTTCATGTCGTTCCAGCTGCTGTCATTAGTTTCTCCACTCAGAGAATCATACTTGTTTTCAGTCTGACACTGAGTCTCAGATTCCTTCCTTTGCTGATAAGGTAGGGGGAAAATCACTATCAGTACAAAGCTGAATGAAAGTCAGCTAACTACCTTAGGCTATAAAATAACATTGAAAAAAGAATAATAATATTGAGAAAAAGAAAAGCTTTATAAGACAAAAAATACGGCATGTTCCTTGTGAAATGGAGGGGCATGGCAGGGTGGGGGCAACTGCAGTGGTTGATGAGTAATGCAAAGTAAGAAGTGGAAACGGCATGCAGGCAACAGGATTTTATGGTAAAACTTAAGTAAATGCACCCTCTCCCCCCATACTTAGTTTTTAAAATTCTCATCACTTTGAAATAAATTAGATTCCAAAATATGTCTTACTCTGTGAGGGTGAGGATGGAAAATTCTGCGCACAATAAAAGTTGTTGCTATGATACAAAACAGAATAGTTCCAGCTATTTCTTTCCACCAGTGTAAGAGGAGAACAGGGTCCTTTTTGCGGACATTCTTGCTGTAATTTGGGTTCTCCAGAAATCTGACTGTAATGTGTGTGTTCCTTGTGCTCCGTTTGCTCCTTTCCCTCTGGTAGTATGGTAGATAATAACCATTATCTTCAAAAACAAACATTAAAAAGTTGTTTTAATTTCTAAAAAGATAAACCAAAGTAGATTCATCTTTAATTATTAAAAATTATCAATTTTCCTATGACTTATACATTAACTCCTTTTGTAAAAGTTTCATCTCTTTAACACATTCCATAGCCACATTCATGTGACTTTTTCATTATGCAAATATATTTTCCTTTATTCCATAAGCATCGTAAATTTTCTTTACACTAAATAATAAGAGTAGAAAAAATGTCAACGGTATCCCACTGATTACCTCAATAATTAAATCCTTTAAATGCAAGAAAGTACTCAACTTTCTTGAAGGATTTTAAACTTTACTTTCATTTAGCATCAATCACATGCCAGATTTTACCATGAATCATTCTTGACGGGCTGAAAGGAAAACATCTCCATCACACCCCTTGGTTCATTTCACGCTGAGTTTGCCCTAGAAAGCGGCCTTTTTGTCTCCTCTATTGCACTATATGGGCAGATTACACAGCTCTCTCTTACCTGGAATTCTGATCAAGTCAGATAAAGGCTGCTGTTTCTAGTTCAGAGCGCTTTGTTTTCTATCAATTTAAGTTCTACAATAATTTCCCAGTCCTAGCATCTCAGGTAACTGATGAGGACGCTATGTTTTTGTCTAATGCAGATGTTAGGGCTTTTTTATATCTAACCGTTCAAAAGACTTTCGTATTATAAATATACCCTAACTTTAAATACATAGGAATGTATTTTGTGCCAAAGTTCACCTATTCTTGACGTTTGCAATAATTTTCCTTGTCTCAGAACAAAATGAAAACCACTTCATTTTATAGCATTTTCACATAGCTCTATGGAGACACCTGTTTTCTTCATTATACTGACTGATTTTATATCAACTATACTATATAGGCTGAAAATTAAATAAGAACTAGTAAGAAGAAGTAGTGCTTACTGAACCCTTATTGCCAGGCACGGTGTGAAGGCTGTACATGCATTATCTCACTTGGACCTCACAATACCCAATAAACAGACATGAGGATCGCCATCCTTGGTTTATGGATGGAGGAACTGAGACAGTCAAGTTAGGTGCCCAGCCCAGTATGTGGCAAAACAGAGCTGAACCCTGGCAATCTGACTTTGGAGTTTGTACCTTGGCTGCCATTCACAATATTGCCTTCCATGGTATTTTACTTTCTACCTCCCAATTGACTACTTTTCATTTGAATTCTATTAATTAATTTCAAATTAATACAGAAATAAATTAGAAGCAACACAGCATTTTCAATCCAAGAGTAATCACACTTACCATATGGATACTGCAAGACTGAAAGCGCGCCATTACTGTACTCTTCATGAGAAAACTTATCATTACTAAGACATTTGTCAAACTCATCAGGCCCCACCAAGACAGGAGTCCTGGAAGGAGAATCTAAAAGAAAACGTAAAAGCTTAGCTGCTATGACTTTCACAAAAACCCGTGTACCCCATTCATTCAAAAAACAGATATTCAACCACAGTTCAGTTCAAGCATGTAAGTCAAACAAACGGCCCCAGGCTCTCTCCCCTGAAAAGCATCTTGTAGAGACAATGAATGAATCCTTCAAACAAGTAATTAAAAGCGTGTGATAAAAAATGTACACAAAGTACAAAAAGATAACTGAAGAAAGTAGGTGGCCTAGTATTTGATTTCAATTTATTAAGTGTTTCAAAGAATATGATGTGACAACCAGATTATTTTTTCATAAATATTCTTGACATAAGTAGGTTAAGAGCTAACTGATATTTCAGCATAGCCAGTGAATGGTTTAAAGTTTTTCTAAGTTGTACAGAGAAATATTTTATTAACACTGAGTTCTAGCGAAGCAATTGCTGTTTCAAGTTTTCAATTGCTGTTCTAAATGCTAATTAAAATTCATTCACATCTGCCTGGCCAGAGTGGCTCAGTTGGTTGAGCGTTGTACTGTGCACCGAAAGGTTGCAGATTCAATTCCTGGTCAGGGCAAATACCTGGGTTGCAGGTTTGATCCCCAGTTGGGGCGCCTATGGAGGGCAACTGATCAATGTTTCTCTCTCTCTCCCTCCCCACCCCCTTCTTCTCTCTAAGCATGTCTTCGATGAAGATTAAAAATAAAATTCATTAGCATCTGAAATACCTTCCTAGTCAATCAGAAAATATAGAGAATATAAAGTTGTGATCTCTGTGACACTCAATGCTAGGGCAAAGACACTCATGATTAGGCCTCTGAACATGTTAATAAACTTTAAAAAAGTTTACAATTCACTTACGAATTAAGGGTTTCCATTTGATTGTTGGTAAAGGAATAATTGCATTTTCATTATCAACAGATTCCAAGGCCTTGGGATTTGTAGGAAACTTTTCTGAAATTCTGACTGATGACTGCAGATACAGCTGGCCTCTGTACATTCCTGAATCAACCAGAACACTGTCAATTATGTTTAGAATCAAGCACTAATAATTTTTCAAAAAGGTTCATTTTGATTTAATAATATTAGATTAATTCCAGTTATCTTTCATATGTTATACAGCTCTTTTCAAAGAAGAATTATGCCTGATGCACTCAAATGACCCAAAGACTATTCAACAAAAATATAGGAGGAAAGTTACACACAAGGTCCATACAATGTTTCTCACTGAATAACAACTTTTAGTCAATACTGAAAAACTCATTCAGTAGGAAAATTCAAAGAAAAGAAGTCAGTGTACTTTTATGAGACTAACAACTTAGATGAAGTAACATCTCCTTAAAGAAACCTAAACACCTATAATTCCAGAGACACTGCTAACACTTCAGTCAAATATCATCATAACACATGTGTGACATGTTAATCTTGTAAATTTTTGCATTTCATTGAGAATGGGGGTTCGCACACTAATAGAGCTTAAAGAAGTTTGTGAGTATCTGACCACCAAAACTAGTTCAAATACTTAGATTCAAGGTTTTTCAAAAGTTATTATATTAAAGGCTTTCAATTGCCCAGAAACACTCCAAAATTTTATTTTTATGTTTCAGATAAATTGTATAGATACACAGAAAAAAACCATAATCTTTAAGGGAGGAGCAAATTGCAAGTACAAATACAAATGTAGAAAGTTTTAGACTCTGAGGATATATCAGTAATTTGAAATCATGCTATATATATGTATAATGGCAACATTTTTAAGCCTTCCTAATATATAAGTCTCGGTGAGAAAAAAAAGCTATAGTAATTAAGTTTTGGAATTGGATAACTGAAATAAAATAGCACGAATGGAAATCCAAGTATAGATCTCAGGGCAACCTAAGGCAGAGAATGTATTTAGGAATTAAAACTACTATAGGCACAATGTAGGAATCAAATCTAGATGTCAATTTGTACTATCACTAGGTAAGAGACACTCACCCAAGTAAACGCTGTTTTCTGTGGCTCCTCGGGCAGCTTCTACAATGTCTTCTTCATCTTTTAAAACATCATCATTAGACGCATAACTTGTATCATCAAAAAGACTGATGGGAATGACTTTGCCGTCCTTGACCAACCAAGCAGATGCAATGGGAGTACAAAACTAAAGTGGAAAAAATTTTAAAAATAATTTCAAGCATTATTTATGTACTCCAAAATTTGATTTTAAAAGAAATCAAATTTAAAATTTTTGTTTTACTAGAGTTATTGAGGTATAATTGACAAATAAAAATGTATATATTTACAGGGCAAAATGTGATATTTTGATATATACATACATTGTGAAATGATTAGCACATATCAATAATCAAGCTAATTAAAAGACCCATCATCTCACATAGTTATTTTGTGTGTGTGTTGTGAGAACATTTATCTACTCTCTTCATTTCACAATGTATGTGTATATCAAATCATTACAATGTACAAACCAGATAGATACAGTTTTTATTTGGCAATTATATTCAATAAAGCTAGAAAGTAGTTTTTTAAAAAAAGATCTATACTCTTGCCAAATTTCAAGTATACAATATAGAATTATTAAGTACACTTGTCACCATGCTATCCATCACATCTCTAGACTGCAGTCATCCTGCATAACTGAAACTCTGTACCCTTGACTAGCATCTCCCATTTCTCCTTCCCCCCAGCTCCTGGCAATCACCATTCTAATCTCTGCTTCTATGGATTCAACTTTTTGATTCCACATATAGGTGAGATGAAATGAGATAGGTGTCTGGCTCATTTCACTCAGCATAATGTCCCTCGGGTCCATCAACGCTGCAAATGACAGGAGTCCCCTTTTTAAGGCCGAGTACTATTCCACTGTATATACACGCCCACATTTTCCTTACCCGCTCCTCCCTGATGGACACTCAGGCTGATTCCCTACCTGGGCTATTGTGAATAATGCTATACTGACCATGGGAGTGTAGGTATTTCTTTGAGACACTGATTTCACTTCCTTTGGTAATGTGCCCAGAAGGGGGATTGCTGGATCATATGGCAGGTCTATTTTTAATATTTTGAGGAAATTTCATACTGTTTTTCAGTGGCTATGCCAATTTATATTCCCACCAGCAGTGTACAAAGATACACTGTTGTACACTATTCACCAACACCTCTCTTTTGTCTTTTTCATAATAGCCATTCTAACAGGTATAAAAACACAAATTTCTTAAAGCATAGNTAATAGCCATTCTAACAGGTATAAAAACACAAATTTCTTAAAGAACAAGTTAAAAATCCAAGATGGTAGTTATTTCCTGCTACCCAATATGTTTGGTCAAACTGATAAAGGAAGAGACAGTTCATAAATTCTCAGTGGTTCAGGTACCTGATACTCCCATTCCAGATGTCCTCCCTTCTTGCTAAAGGCCATGACCTTCCAATCAGTAACAGAGACTTTTATCACTGTATCCACTGTGGCAGCTTCCTGTTCTTCCACATCTGAGATAATTTCAGACTCTTTGTTCAGAGTAGGATTCAAGGTGCTTTCAATAAATCCGGCTCTAGTTTCCATGTCTGGAATATACCGAAGTTCAAAGTGGCCAACACTGAAATTCCACCTTAAATTTACAAATGCAGGTTTTAGAAATTTACACTTAAAAAAAGGGGGCCAAATAAAGAACTTGTCTAGACGAAGACAGCAGACATTAAAATTTGGTGATAAGAACAACTCTACACCATTTTCTGGAAAGAAGCGCTGTTAATTTATGCCACAAGAGGGCATAACTTTGTCCTGACCCTTTAGAAACAAGGGCTTGGAAAGTTGTGAGCTGACATCAGTTATGGAACAGATTTTCTCTCAAAAATTAACAAATGTTCACATTTCAAAACCAGAATGATTTTTTCAAAACACATTAAAGTCATCTTAAAGTGAGGTAGCATGAAGTCAGCCTTACTTCTTAATTAAAGCCTGGGCACTTTTCATTCAAGTGCAGAGAAATTACTATCTCCCAGGAAAGCAATGTAAAAGGCAAGGTGACTACACCAATTTTAAATTTATGTGAAAACATGTCCCAAAGAGCAATGTGACCTGTACACCACACCTAAAGGTCACACACCTTACCTCCAATCTGTACTGACTGAGAGCTGGTAAGTCACTTAACCTTTCCTGAGTTTTGGTGCCCTTATCTATAGTGATAACGATAACGTTCCTCCATAATTATTTACAGAAAAATCACTTAACTATTAACAGTATAAAATCTTGTCACTTAGATGTAAAATAGCCTGGAAATTACATCATCTAGTAAAAATATATATACTTAAGGAACATGGGTCTAAGAACCCAGATTCTTCCTATACTGGTGACTCAAAATTCTAATTAGTTTGAATACCACCTGCTCCTATGGTAGCTGAGCATCCAGGAAGCACTTGAACACTGGAAAAAACAAGACCCTCTCAAGGAAGAAAAAAGGTTAGGCTGCCAGCAGATACAAAGCCCTACTCACAGTCCAGTGAACATAAAAAAAAAGCATTTAAAAAAATTTTTTTGAAAAATATATCTTTATTGATTTCAGAGAGAGGAAAGGAGAGGGAGAGAGAGAAACATCAATGATGAGAGAGTCATTCATCTGCTGCCTCCTGCACGCCCCTGACTGGGAATCAAGCCCGCAACCTGGGCATGTGCCCTGACTGGGAATCGAACCCGGATCGCCTGGATCCTAGGTCGACGCTCAACCGCTGAGCCACGCCCGGCCGGGCAAAAAAGCATTCTTAACTGAGTTAGAGAAAACNCCCTGACCGGGAATCGAACCCTGATCGCCTGGATCCTAGGTCGACGCTCAACCGCTGAGCCACGCCCAGCCGGGCAAAAAAGCATTCTTAACTGAGTTAGAGAAAATAACTTTCAGGAAAGGAAAATGAATTCTATTGTATCATATTAAACTAAATTTAAAAGCTTGGTTCACTTTTCAAAGAAAAAGATGGGATCTAAAATTATTTTTACTACAAAGGCAATTTAACATCTAATTTGTATGTGATTTAAGAACAGCATATCTTATCCAATTATCTTATTGTTAATCACATATTTAAATATAAAAATTACATAAGAAATTCATTATTTGAAGAAAAGAAAAAAGAAAGAAATTTGACCAAATAAATTATACTTTCATACTTTAAGAAGAAAATAGACTAAAATATTATTTTTAAAATGGGGTAATCAGAAAAACTATGAAACTACTACATACCAGAGAGAATTCAGAGTCAAAAAGGTCCAAGCTGAAATAAAGCACATTAGCTTTCTCTTGAGAGCTTTTTGCACTGAAAAAACTTTGATCAGTAAGCTTGCTATGAAAAATAGCATTAACTTAGACTAAACTCATGCCCGGCCAGGTGTGGCTCAGCGGCTGAGCATCGATCTAGGATCCAGGAGATTGCAGTTCGATTCCTGGTCAGGGCACATGCCCGGTTTGTGGGCTCGATCCTCAGTCAGGGCCTACAGGAGGCAACCGATCAATGATGACTCTCTCATTGTTGATGTTTCAACTCTCTCTCTCCCTCTCCCTTCCTATCTCTGAAATCAATAAAGATATACTAAAAACCCCCCAAAAAAANTTGTTGATGTTTCAACTCTCTCTCTCCCTCTCCCTTCCTATCTCTGAAATCAATAAAGATATACTAAAAAAACCCAAAAAAAACNTATCTCTGAAATCAATAAAGATATACTAAAAACCCCCCAAAAAAAACCTAAACTCATATGTTGTCATTATTTAAGATTCCTTCTAGTTACCATATCCTAAAGCATATGGCGAGAACTTGTTAATAATCATGAGGCCATTTTTAATTCAGGGCTTACATTTTTCTTAAAAGAATAGTAAGCTTCTAGGGAACAAAAATAGTTCAGAAAATATGCAAAGAGAAATCTGATGAACTTTGGTCTTGGTGTGGTTCTGAATAATACCAGCAGCAGTCTGATCTGAATACGCACTTCTCATTGCCACTGCGAGGCCCGACAGCTCTAACAGTTTTCTGGGTGCGTTGCAGAAGCAGGATGTCTTCTTGTTCCATTTCATCACTGTCCCATTGGCGACAACCCAAAGCTGAACAGATGTACCTCACCTGAAAAAAGATTTAAAATTAGTAACAAAACAACAACAACAAAAATACAAGTTACAGGAGACCAGAGCCATTAAAAGAATCTCTAATTTATATTTTAAAAATGAAAAATGTGTAAGAGGTACCCAACTATTAAGAAGCATCAGTTAGATTACCAATTCCTGAAATGAGTTATTTAGAACCATAAAAGTAGCAATGAATATTCCAGGGAATGATTTTAAGGATTTAGATAATTTTAGTTGTACTTTGAGCATCTCCATGGAATATACAAAGGGAAATGGGTAACCAGTTTTGATCTTATCAGTATCATTAATACAATTTCAGATGAGGTAAAAAAATCAACCTCAGAATTTCTACATAACATATATATGCAGTTGGTTTTTGAAAATGTGAACCTTTTTTAATAGCTGCAGTACTTCAAAGTACCTTATTTATTTATTTATTTATTTACTTATTTATTTATTTTTAAAAATCCTCCCCGGAGGATATTTTTTTCATTGCCTTTCCGAGAGAGTTTTGGAAGGGAATGAGAGAGAGAGAGAAACACTGATGNTTATTTTTAAAAATCCTCCCCGGAGGATATTTTTTTCATTGCCTTTCCGAGAGAGTTTTGGAAGGGAATGAGAGAGAGAAACACTGATANAAACACTGATGTGAGAGAGACACATCTATTGGCTGCCTCCCACATGCTCCCTGACTGGGGCAGAGGATTGAACCTGCAACTGAGGTACACGTCCTTGGCTGGAATCAAACCCGGGACCCTTTAGTCTGTGGGCCGATGCTCTAACCATTGAGCAAAACCAGCTAGGGCTCAAAGTACCTCCTTTAAATCTTCATTAAAAGAAAAAGGAGCCCGGCCGGGGATGGCTCAGCGGTTGAGCGTCGACCTGGGATCCAGGCGATCGGGGTTCGATTCCCGGTCAGGGCACATGCCTGGGTTGCGGGCTCGATCAATGACTCTCTCATCATTGATGTTTTTGTCTCTCTCTCTCCCTCTCCTGTCCTCTCTCTGAAATCAATAAAGATATATTTAAAAAAAGAGAAAAAAAGAAAAAGGAAGATTCTGAGTATGACCCAAACTAAAATCCTCACAGAAAGAAGCACACCTGCTAGACTACCAGAATTTTGCAGAAGGACGTCAAATCAGAGAAGCGAGGGTCCGGCTCACTGCAGTGTTTACAGGTGAGAGCCCTGAAGCATACGGAGGACGCGAGGCCTCTCAATGCACTGCAGTAGGGAGTGGAGCAGAAAGGCATCTGTAGTAACAACTGCTACAGGCCTAACACTCAGGCAGGGAAATCACTCAAGTTTGGAAAACTCAAGGGTCAAAAGATAATTTTTCTATTCTTCCCTGTTTTAGTCTCAAGTCTACATATAAAATAATCACACATATCAAGGTGCTAAGGAGTTAAAAAAAGATTTTTACCATTCTGAAAAAGATGTTTTTAATTGGTTATTCCTAATAGTGGATTTTTACTGCAAGATCCAATCTTAGAAGCAGATTATGATCACACCCTAGGAGCTAATGATGGACAAAGTCCAGGTCTTGACAGCATGACTTTGTTGTCACACAGATCAAGTCAAATCTGACCTTGGAAGTTTCTGAACCTTTTAAAGTCTCGGTTTTCTTGTCTTTGATATGAGTACAAATTTTCTTCTTAGATCCTCTTATTATAGAATCAAACTAGATAAAGAAATAAGTGGTATGATTATTCTTAGAATTGTTATTAATCTTTGGAGGGCTCATCTGTCCAAATGGAAAGAAAAATATGGAGCCCTTAGGAATACGGTGAGGACCTCAAAAGAATGTACAGTAAATGCACCTGACACAGCAGAACATGGTGTCTTCCTCCTGCTATCCTGGCTCTGCTGTTTACTCTGTTATCTTGGCTAAATTTAGTTTCTCCTAATAACATTTCTCCCTTTCTACTTTATAGATCTTTTATTAAACCAAATGATATCTTTGGGGAAATTGTTAATAAACCTCAACCAGTAATAGTATGGTTTAAGGAATTACTTCTATCCCCATTTATTATGATTTCTCCCCAAATTCAAAAATTTCACTCACCTTTCCACTATATGCACCGAGTCCATATGTAGTGAGAGACTTTCCTCCAACCAAAACAACATCATCTCCAAATTTGTAAGACGATTCAAGAAGTGATTCGACCGTAAAAGGAACTGTTTCCATGCTCTCTCGGTCTCGGTCCCACTGGAATAGGTCTCCGTCCAGGGAAGGAATGATCATCTTATTCCCGAAAACCTAAAACAGAAACCACAGTTTAAAAGGACCTTCGCTGTAAGAGGTGTAACCGTGAGCTGGAGTCATGAGCCTCTTCCTCAGCAGCGCAGCTCAACCAGAAGTTTAGAAGAACTGCCATCTCTCCAGGGGCCTCCATGAAGTTCTCCAGTATGGCTTTTCTAAAACTGTTTGCCAGGAGTGTCTAATATGACACATGAGTTACCAAAAGAGGGTTCTGTGATCACAAGAGTTCAAGAAGAGGTTACTGCCGGGGTTTTCATAGTGATTCGCGTGCTAACGTAGAAAATGATTTTCTAGTGAGGGGACAGCTTATGCAGTACTCTCCAGCCTATTTTACCCAGGCCAATTATGGCCATAAGCTCAGATCCAAGAACATGGTTGATTCACGCAGTGTCTCATCCTTTCTTGTACTTACTTTCTCAAGTCTGCTATGTGCTAGAAGCCTGGCAACTGAACTTAATGATTTTAGGCTCTCAGTTGTCCTTCCTCCTTAACAATGTTTACCAAGGGCCTACTATGTGCCAGGTACTGTTCTGTTGCTTAGGATAGACCAGTGAGCAAAATAAATAATAAAAATAATCTCTGTCATTCTGGAGCTCAAACTCTGGTGTCAGCAGACAAACGAGATAATGAATAACTACAGGGTAAGTTAGGTGATAAACGCCAGAGGGAAAGAATAGAACAAGATAAAGGGGACCGGCCTTGGCTGGTTTGGCTCAGTGGTTAGAGCGTTGGCCCGAGGACCAAAGGGTCCCGGGTTCAATTCCTGGTCAAGGGCACATACCTCAGGTGCATGTCGGATCCCAGTCGGGCGCGTGTGGGAGGTGGCCAATCAATGTGTCTCTCTTACATCGATGTTTCTCGCTCTCTCTCCCCTCCTCCTCCCTCCCCTTCACTCTCTCTCTAAAAAAAAAAATCAATGGAAAAAATATCCTTCGGTGAGGATTAAAAATAAAAAAGATAAAGGGGACCGGAAAATGTGCATGTAGGGGGCGAAGGGACAGTCAGCAAGGAGTTAAGGGTAGATGCCACTGAGAATGTAATATCTGAGCAAAACCTAAACATGAAGAGTTAATCATGCTTATTTCTGGGGCACACCCTTCACCAAGAAGGACTTATGGTGCAAGTGTGCCCGTGACAAGGACAGCGAACAGAGGCAAGGGTGGAGGCAGAGAGAGAAAGGAGAAGGCACGAGATGAAGAGGAAGGTTGATGGCAGTGAAGGTGTTGAAGGCGGTCAGATCTGGGCTCTAACTGAAGGAAAGGCCAACAGGATTTTATAGCGGATTCCTGTATGGAATGAGCAAAAGAAGAGCTCAGCAAGAGTTTAGTAAAGGTTCTGGCCAAGAATAGCTTTTCCTTGAGAAAGCGTATCACTGCCTGGCTTGGTGACACTGAGCCTTCGGCATTTCAAATGCAACGCAACCTGATTCACTTTTCTAATGACAAAACGATTTCCCTGATCACCCAGGCTCAAACTTTGGAAAAGGGGAATAGGAAAGAATGAATTAAAAATAATAATAAATAAGGCTCCAAACAAATGTTGGTCTTAACATTTTTTAAAACATTTCACTATGCAATCTGTAATACTTTAAACAAAAATAAAAATTAAATTAAAAAAGAAAGAAAAAAAAAAAAGAAAGATCAAACCTCAAAAAACAAAACAAAAACAAAAACCAAAAAACATTTCACTATGCACTTCCTTGTTCCTTACTCAGAATCCTTCCTTCAAAGCAAGGACGGGGAACCTTTTTTCTGCCAAGGGCCATTTGGATGTTTATATTATCATTTGAGGGCCATACAAAATTATCAACTTAAAAATTAGCCTGCTGTATTTGGTCAAACATTTAATAAACTCACCCCTAATGTGGTGGCTGGAACTGCTTCCCTTTGGTGGGGCCTTGGCAGGGCCAGACCACATGATTTCTAGGGCCTCAGCCAGCCCAGGGGTGCAACGTTCCCACCCCTGCTTTAAAGCGATACTTCCTTGAAAACTCCCACACAGAAGATAAGAGTTGTAAGTTGGTGCCCAGCCCACATCCCCTCCCCTTCCCCGGCTTGCCCCACCCGCTGGGGTTCTGGGGGACAGGTTGGAAACCACTATTCTAATCCACTTCTATCTTTCATTTTCTACTTCCAAGCTTTCTACCTCTTGTTTGAACTACTGTAAGAGCCTCCTTATGCCTCTTACCTGGAAATTTCCTCTCTCACCTCTCATTACTTACAGATTACTCTCCGGAGTCAGAGTTAAGCTTGTTATGACAAAGTTCTCTATTTTCTTATTAAAGACCCCAAATCCTAAGTCTGGCATTCAGAAGTCCTCTAAACATGACCTCGAACAACTTACTCCTCCTTGTCTTCACCTTTCCCCACACGGGCGAAATCAGGCATCACTACTTAAGCATGATATTTATTGTCGCTTTTATTGCTCAGTTTTTGACAAACTGTCAATGTCATTTCTTCTCCCCGGTACGCCTTCCTGTACCAACACTCACTGAAGTTCTATTTGGACATCAAGCTAGCATCACTTATGTTTGCTCTGAAATCCAAGAAAATGTTGCAGTGCCAACTTGATGACAAAACTCTTCCCATTCCTTAATACTGTATCTAACTTACTGCTGTAATTATAAACTGAGACACTACTGCAACCTCAAAAATTGCTTGTTTGTACCTCTAAGAAATATTTACCAGGTATGCTAAAGATTTTACAGTTGTTTATATAGTGGCTATAAAAGTAATGCACTCAAATCTAATGCCCAGATTTTATTACCTAATTCTGTTCCCCACCAAAGGAACCCAAGGCTTCTCAGAGAAATGGCTCATCCCAGGGCTGGGGCAGGGTAGGTACAAGATCACCCTTTAACATCTTATTTTCTAGAAAGCAAGGATGTAATTAAAAAAAAAAAAAAAAAAAGATGGGAGCATGCCACTGACCACATCTGGAAGAGTTTAAGTACCAAAATAATTAAGTACTGAATTATAAAGCATTGAAAAAAGGAATTCATGAATCCACACTGACAACAAATAGATAAAATAAATAATATATGGGGAGAAAGGGTGGGCTCCTTTGCAATAAAATGCCAAGTTTCTACTGGTAAATATGAAGGGAGGGCTGAAATTGGGAAAATTAGCATTTTGTAACCATCACAGTAAAGACTAAATAGGCAAAAATCAGCAATGGTGTTAAATCTAGGCGAAAATTTTTATGAGAAGCAGGATATTTGAATGGTGTTAAAGTATTCCCCAGAGACTGTTTATTAGTTACAAGAATTTTTTAAAAAACACTAATTATATAGGGAAGAATTCAGATAATACCTTGACTAGTGACCAAAATTAATAACATCCATGAATGATAATCTGATGCCCTAAGGGGGGGACAATATCACCTATGCAGCATCCTCGCCAAGAGCACAGCTGCATCTAATCACAAGAAACACCAGACAAGCACAGGAGGAGGAAATTCTAATTCTTAAAGGGCCGAGAGACTGTATTCTTCAAAAATGTCAATGTCATGAAAGACAAAGTCTGTGGAAAATCCAGATTAGAAGAGGCTGACATGACAAGATGCTGTACTGGGACAAAGGATGCTACAGAAGGCGTCATTAGTTCCACTGATTAAATTGAAACATGAATGGTAGATTAAAGTATCCATATACATTTATGAGGTTGACAGCTGTACTGTGATTACATAAGACAATATCTCTATTAGGAAGTATTTAGGAGTAAAGGGCCATGATGGATATTTATTTTCAAATGTTTCAAGAAAAAAGTATGTACGAGGGGTTGGGGGAGGGGAGGAGAGAAAGAGAGGCACTCAGATGATAAAGCAACAGGAGGTTTGGGTAGATAAATCTGGGTATATAGGGGTTGGGGGGTATCACTTTTATTTGGGCAATTTTTTGCAGTTTGAAGTTATTTCCAAATAGGAGGTTAAAAAGAAACGAAACACACGAGCCTTGCAGGAACTCTGTAATTAAAGCCAGACAGCTATGCCATTGAATCAAAGTTCATCAAAATGCTGGTTATTTAAAGATCTGCAATTATTACTTATTTGCCTATTTATATTTACTTATTTATAGTTCTTGATAACAATAAACAGATTTTATTTTCAAAAAATTTAAACTTCTCTTTTTATGTTTTGTAGAATGTCCAACTTGAAGTTGCCACTAAGAAGAGATATGGGGGAGCAGAGATTAACCAAAGAAGTTACATGCATATATGCATAACCCATGGACACAGACAACAGTGCTGTGAAGGCCTGGGGGAGGCGGGGCGGGGTGAGAGGGTCAATGGGGAAAAAAAGGGACATCTGTAATACTTTCAACAATAAAGACAATTGTTTAAAAAAAGAACAGGTAGAGGTCAAAGTATGTATACCCTATGATAGCAATCCATAGTATTTAGCCAATATG